CGGCAGTCACAGCGGCGGCGACATCGGGGACGCGAGCAGGGCGGTGACTGTGTGGGAGGTGTTTTCACTCTTGGGGAAGCTGCTGGGCACCGTCGCCGCGCTGAAGGTCGTTCTGTTCCTGCTCCGGGTGTGCTTAGCGATGGCCTGGAAGTCCGGCGGCGCCAGCCACTCGGAGCTGATCCACAACCTCCGCAGTAAGTGCCACCGCCGCCCGGTGTGGGGCGACTGGGGCGGGCCGGGCCCGGAACGGGCCCCCGGGCCGTCCGGAACGTTCTGTCTGCGCCGCCCTGCCTACTGGAGGGCCGCGGCGGAGCGTTGCACCAACCGTCCCGGGCGGCGTGCGCGTGCGGCCGCCTCCCCCGGGACCTGCCACTCTCTCTCCTCGGGAGGGGACAGACAGGGGCGGGGGGCGGCATGGCGCCGCGGGAAGGGGGAGCGGCACAGGTGGCGGGCTGTCACTCGAGTCCACCGCCTCTCGTCGGGTCCGGCGGGCGGGGGCGTGCCCCGGAGTGGGGGATGCGGGCCGGGCCCCGCTCCTCCTCGCCTTCCGCCTGCTGCGGGAGCGCCTTCTCTCCTGTCCTCCTCCCCCGCCCCCCGTTCTTTCCTCCGGGGGAGGTACCGGCGCGGGGAGGGAGGGGAGAGGATTGTCACTGCGGATGCTGGAGAAAGTTCTGGGGCGCTGTCCACTGGCAGGCTTCGTGGGGGTCGGAGCGGGCAGGGGTCAGGAGACGCTGTTCCTAGGAGGCTTGTTTCATCCTGAGATCCAATCAGCAGTCGTGCATGTGGATGCTCTGCCTTCTTCCAGGCCCCGTGGGCTTTACAAGCCTTGCCGGCAAGTCTTCCTGTACCGTTCTCGTTGGTTATTGTATTCCTTCCTCTGCTGATCATTTCGGGGTGGGGTGAATGCTGTGTCACTTTATTTTTTTACGTTGCAATACAGTGTCGCCCACTGGTCGGGAGACCAGAAGAACCGCAGTCCGTACCACTCTCACTCCGGTCAGAGCTGATAGCACTCTCTTTGCCACTAACTTGCGAATAATCATATCCTGCTATGTGTCATATGTTATTTAGCTTTTCATGTCTTTATGTTTCCTAATTCGATTTGTGACCTCCTTGAGGGCAGGGACTTTTTTTTTTTTTGTAAATATCTTTGAATCCTATCAAAGAACTTAATACTCATTTCTTTTTTCATTTGTGCCAATTAAATGTACACTATATGCTTGGATCTGTGCTAGGAATACTAAGATGAGCGACAAATAGTACTGTCTGGCACACGGTTAATACTTAATATTAGTCATTTGACTTTTTTTTTTTTTACAATATTTAAAATTTGGAAATTGTGTCCTTACTGTTTAGTAATGAAGAATATTTAGATTTCAGAATCCTGTCGAGCATTGCCAGTGTTCACTTTATGGAAGGATATTTGATTGGGAGTGGACATTTATATGCTGAGGCAGTATTATGAAGTGTGATGTGATTGCATGTAAGCTCATTATGTTGTAAATATTTTAATAAAATTTCTTAAAATGATCTACTGCCTTATATTGTAGTGTGCTTACTGGAAACCTTCTATACAAGAATTGTGACTAAGTAATTTTCCACCAGTAGGTTATCGCAGTAGCCACTTGGCTGTGGCAGGAATTTGTAATCAATCGGGCTCTTAAAATCTTTTTTTTGGGCCAAATTTGTAGTAAGCCAAGACTAGATCTTTTCCCAGTGGTTTTATAATCACTTTAATATATTGCATTACCATTCCTAGCTGAAATTTCTAAGGATATTTTTCTATCTGAAAATTTAATAAATATTTAATATACATGCTGATATTGCGAATATTTAGTTTTATACTAGGTCTGTGATTGGTAAGAGGAAATTAGAGTACTCAAATTGTTTAGCCTGTTTTGTAACACTTGTGCAACTTGAATTTCAACTTCTTGCTGAATTAATTCTAGCTAATAGACTTTATTTTTATTTATTAGTTTATTATAAAAGTAACATTTGCTCATGTGAAAATTTCAGTTGGCATAAAATTTGAAAATTTCTCCCTCTTTCCAGGTTATTCCACTGTTGTGTATTCTTCCTAACTTAAAGCTTCTAATTGAATTTTTAGGGAAAAATTAAAATGTGAAATGTTGATGTTGAAGTGAAAAGGGATCTACAAATTGGAAGAGGAAGCAAATTACAGTTTTAATTTTTTTTTTAAAGACATGAAGTTCAGGTTTGGTTTAGTTTTAATGTTATTTTAATAATTTTATTGGAAGTTTCTACTGAGTTTTTCTTTTATAAGACATCATAGTAGAACTATGCTTGTGTATGATTTCATAGTTGATATATCATGTATAGAATATTTTAGACTGTAATGGTACATCTTGTAATACCTTGTAGCTTATGATGACAACTGCTCTGAAATAACTTAGAACAATGATCTAAAACTTGAGCATGCTTCAGAATCTCTTGGGTCACCTGGAGAGGTTGTTAAAATACAGATTGCTGGGGCTCAAGAATTTGTATTTCTGACAAGTTCCTAAGTAATGCTGCTGCTGCTGGTCCAGGGACCACACTTTGAGAATCACTGATGTAGAGAATTGAAAATTACAAGGTTGAATTCTGCCAGTGTTTCAGCTGAATCAGTTTTATGCTTTAAAATAAAGTTTTAGGAAAAAGGCCTATAGCAGTCCTGCCCAATAGAACTCTCTGTAATGTCTGTGCTGTTCAATATGAGCCTTTGAAATGTGGTTAATACCACTGAGGAACTGGATGTTTGTGTTATTTAGATTAACTTAATTAAATAGCCACATGTGGCTAGTGGTTACCATATTGGACAGTGCAGCTCTATAGAAATGAAAAATATAGTTTTATAATTATGGGCTGATAATGTGCTCATGAAACGAATTAAATTTAAAACAACTGTGAGCCTACTTAATCCAGGGAATGTGACAGTTTACATAATGTTTATATTAGAGTTTATTTTCTACTTTTCTTGGGATAATTTCAAGCCGTAGTGAAAGGAAAAGAAGGGGGTAGGAGTGGGTGAGGTTGAGAGAGGTCCTTTCCTAGAGCAGGGGTGTCTGAACCCCTGTGGAAGCGTCCCATTTGTGGAAGGTCAGCTCTTAACTAATAGACTTCAAATGCTGTGCGGGACACTTAAAACAATGCTAACAATTGTTCTTTTACCTATTTTTTTTTTAAATCCGCTACCCTAATGCATCATTTCTTCTTTTTTTTAAAGTTTTTGTTTATTGCAGTAACATTGGTTTATAACGTTGTATAAATTTCAGGCGTACATCATTATACTTGTATTTCTGCACGGATTACATCATGTTCTCATGTTCACCACCCAAACACTAATTACAATCCATCACCACACACATGTGTCTAATTATCCCTTTCGCCCTCCTCCCTCCCCTCTTACCCTCTGGTAACCAACCAATCCAATCTCTCTCTCTGTGTTTGTTTATTGTTGTTTGCGTCTTTATTTCTACTTATGTTTCCTTTGCATCCTTGATTGTGTCGTTTTGCATATATAATGTTTGTAGGATTTGTCATTCAGTCAACTGATATTTGACTGTCTTCTAAATGCCAGACACTGGGGATACAGCAGTGAACAAAGCAAACACCCATTCTGTCTGTAGGTTACTTCCAACGGGAGCAGACAGGTAAAATACATAGCATGTTACATGATAAGTGACAAAGTAGGGAAGGAGGATAGGGAGTGTGGGGTAGTAGGTTTGCAGTTGTAGGGGAGAAGGCCTCACTAAGGTGTCATTTGAGCAGAGATTTGGTGGAGGAGAAGAAATTCGAGCCAAGCAGACAGAGGTGGGGGACAAGCATTCCAGGCAGAGAGAATAGCAGGTGCTAGACTTGGATTTGGGGTATGGGAAGAGGATTAGAGTCAAGGATATGACACCATGGTTTTAGGCTTGGGCAGTTAGAATGATTTGCCATTTTCTGAGTTGGAAATAGTGAGTGAGCAGCAGGGATTTTGGGGTGGTGGTGGTGCGAGGAGGTGTGGGAGAGCCCTTTTTTGGGGGAATGTTAGGTTTGAGATGCTTATGAGACGTTTAAGTGGACACCTTTCGTAGGCATTCGAATATGTAAGAATTATGATAATTTTTAGTTTTCATATTCTTAAAGTATTTATTTCTGCAAATAAATTGAAGTTATTTTCTTGTTCTATTTAGAGTGTCACTTCTTAGCCACTATTAGCACAACGAGTGAAAAAGAGAATATTCCCATTAATTTTATCATGTGCATTCATGGGCCAAGTATAACCAGCTAATAAAATTCTAAAGGGCTATTTTCAGAAATTGGGGTTTCGTTTAGAATTTAGAAAATGTCTCCTCATTTTAACTTATTTCAAGTCAATCTTATGTACTAGTAAGTAAACTTACAGCGCGTTGAATAAGATTTAATTTGTATGATCTTGGGGAGGAATTTTAATATCAGTGTGTCTACTTAAATTTAAGTTAATTAAAGTTAGATAAAGTTACAAATTCTGCTCCTCAGGCACACTAACCACATTTCAGGAGCTCAGTAGCCCCGTGAGTGTAGTGGCCAGCCTGTTGGACGTGCAGATGTAGAACAGTTCCATCATCGTAGGAAGTTCTGTTGGATAGCGCTAGATCTCAAGGCTAGGTTATATTAAATTCCATTTAATGTGATCTTAGTTCCATTGTGCTGTGGCAGATATTTTTATTAGTATTGCCTTTAGCTCTGGCCGACACATAGCAGTGAAAAAAACAAGGATTATCAGACAAAGGTGATCTAGATGACAAGAGAGTCAACATTTTATGTGACAGTTTGACGGGATTGGGGTTGTTTGGTTTAGCAATGAGAAAGCTTGAGAGAGCAATGGTGTTTAAATATTGAAGAGATGTCATGTAGTATTGGGTCACACCAGGACAAATAAGAGGTAGATTTTGGCTCATTATAAGGAAGTATTCACAAAGCTATCCTAACAGTCAAGGAGTTGGCTTTGAAAAATAGTGTTTTCTGTCACTGGATATGTTGAAGCAAAGAATGGTTGACCATTTCACTGTAAGGGATATTGCAGAAGAGATTTGTCGTCAGCTTTGAATATACAGTAGATCTCTAAGGACGCTTTTAAATCCAAGATTCTGTCATTTTAATTGCATCATGGATTGCATGAAATCACCTGTGGGGGGGGGGGTGTGTGTGTGTGTGTGTGTGTGTGTGT